CACGTGACTCGCTGACGCAACAATTATTATTCTTTCTAATCATTCCTGACTGAGGTTATTTTGTGAAATCTCAATCCGAACTTTTAAAAATGTGTGTATAAACCTAAAGAAGTTGACTTTGAAGTCAATAATTTAGTGTAAGTAGCTATTTTTTCTTATGACAGATATTTATTCATAATCCTGGAAGCAATAAGGTACTGGAAATATTTGACAAAAATATAGATGTTCTTAATTTTTGGTAACATTTAATTGTTTTTGTTGTTTCTTATACACCCTGATAAAGTTCATCTTTCTTGTAATAACAGTATTTGTCCAAAGCCCTTTGGGATTTTTTGTAAAACAATATGATTTTGCAATGCTGACCAGAGGGAACTTAGAGATAGTTAATTGATTTGTTAAGAGTTCAAACTTTATTAAACACAAAACAATTACAACAGGTCACAACATACAGAGGTTGGAAACATTTATATGATATGAAAAAATGTCTTCAAAACATCTGCACACCCACAAAAACGTACTGGTTAATCTATCAGAAGTTACATTATTATTTACTGCTAAACATGTTAAGACATTAAACATGTTAAATAGAAATTAGATGACATTCATAGACCAAAGAAAGCAAGATAAAACATTTCTTCCACAATTAATGAGGGCAGATTTCATTATTACATTCCTTATAACAAAAAATTTTAAGTATAATACTTAAATATACTATATATATAAAAAAAGAAACATGCTAAACAACGTACAAAAAGTGGAGGAAAGTAAATGCACATCTGTAATATGAATAAAGGTGTGAATAATTTACATACATATGTAAATATACATGATTCATGTTTGGTATTTTAAAAACAAGGCAAAAAGACATAGCACAATCTAGTCCACACACAAATTTCTATACATACACACACATGTATATATAATTTGAAAAGTTTCACCAGTTCAGCACAGAAGAAAACTTGAAATATTATAAACTGCTACTGGAAGCATAGTTTTAATTAAGTTAGTTTCTCTACTGAGAAGACTGGAAGTCTCACCACACCACTAGGCTACAAAGTTCTTCTATCAACACACTAAAATAAAGGTTTCAGCTTTTTTTATAATCTAAAGAATGCTGCTACACTGATAGTTACAACAGAAACAAGTTGTACACCATCACTAGGACCAGAGTAGCCATTACATCATTATACACAGTTATATATAAAGCATAAACCAAGAGTCCCTCAAAGGAGGTGAACTTGAACAAGTTTTATAATACTGTAAGTATGGAAAAGCTTGGCAATAAGTATATATATATAGATACTTATACAGATCTGAAAATTCACAGCAGAAAAAGTTGCATGCAGTTGAATTTTAACAATTAATAAGTGAAACTATACAAAATTTGATAATTTGGTCTCAAATTATCACATGAAGGGCTTTATTATACCTAAAACAGATTATCCTGATTAGTGGGTTTATTGCCCATTTTTGTTGGTTAACTAAATCTCCTCAATGTACACATTATACCTGAACAAGGCCTTGTAAATATTAAATATGTATGTTACCTAGTACTTACAGCAAAACATTACAAATGCTTAAGCCAAGAATGCTCAATACGTATATACAAATATATCATCTGGAACTTCTAAACTAAAGTTAGTTACATATGTACTCTCTCCAAAACTCAATTTGTTTTTCTTATATAAATACATTTTCCAGAACCATATTGAATAATTATACTGCATGCTCAAACATATGTAGTTTAGCATTTAAGATGTTCAGTTCCATTATTATGTAAACATATGAAGGTTTATTTATATAAAGAACAAACTTTCCATTATAATTCCAATTGAAAAGAGAACAATATGTAGTTTTTAAATGACTACTACTTCTTTCTACAGAGCCAATTTCTTAATATGGAACTTGTGCTCATTACGTAATGTCACAAAATCTTACAGGCCAGCATGGTGCACTCAAGTAGCTTACTAGAACTGCCCTTACCATTAACAGTGAGTACTTCTTGAAGAGACATCTTGTCCTATATCTTTGTATATTTCTTCATAATGCTACATTAGACCTTTTTAACCAGAGCAATCTTTTGCCAGTATTTTAAAGCATACTATAAAAGGTATTAACCAGCTTCACGACCAAGATGATTAGTTTTCTAGATTCTGGTTATTTTCCAGGTTTTCACAATCATCACTGCCAAATTAGAAAATATCTCAACTACACACTTACTCCAACTTTATATACTGATTATATATACAAAACCCTTCATAATGTTATATTTCATAACATCAGTTTACATGAACATTTTTTATATATGACTATTGTGAACTTCAGAAAATTAAATGTGAAAGCTTAAAGCTAGGGCAATTAATACTCTTTGAAATATTTAACTATCTTTCTCATTTTGTTTCGTAATCCTTATTGTACATATATGGATATAGCTGACAGTAATGCCAATATGTAAATATGCACTTATGACATTTTCTTGAAAATGTTACTTAAACTCATTATTATTAATTTAATACAAGAATTACATAGATTTCTTTATAATAAAAAAACAACAATATTATTTTTGTACTTGTTTGATAGATTGCTATGTAGGATTAACCTTTGTAATTATATGCTTTGAATGTGGAATGAAAAATTCCTTCTACAATAATCAAACCTACAAATAATTCTTACCTTCACCAAGGAAATATTGAATTTCACTGCAAAAATTCTGAGAGAATAATCTTTAAAACAAAAACCATAAACTTACTGTACTCTTTCAGCTGCATTTATGCATAAGATATTGCTAGAAAGTACAAAATTAAATCTCAAAATAGAAGAGATTGTTCAAATCAAAGTGTATTTCAAGTTATGATAAGCATTAAGTCCTCATGTCCCATATCATTGCAAACAAACTGTCAAACAGTTTTCCTACAGTGGAATTGTTAAAGTGCATTGAAATTTTATTGAAAAGCTTAAAGAATTTTACTTTAAAACTAATTTTAAAAAAACCTTAGTTAGTACACATTTATCATATAACAATAATTACTTATTAACTACTATTGCAGTTAAAATCTAGTCAATAAATATCAATAAAAAAAAAGATTTTCAATAAATCATGTAAATTTTCTATTCATTTGAGACCAGCAAATGTTGAACACAAATTAAATGCAAGGACACTTGTTCCTCATTTTAAAGAAGTTAACAGTACACATTGTAATAAAAAATATTCCATGACACCAGGAGTAGTAATTATGTTAAAGTTGGATTTGTTTCCCAGACCATTAGAATTGTTTCTGAACACCAATTTTATAGCAATGTTTTATATTGGATAATCGGAAAAAAAAATTGTAAATAGCTTTGGCAATTCTTGAGAGAAAAAGTAATTTTCCAATATCATGTCCCAGCCCAAAATAAGGCAAATAACCATCATTATTACAGTTAAAAATTGCTTTTATACAGACCTATGTTATGTTATTATTTTATATCATGCAGACCAATGCTCTGGTTTCAGGATATTTTAGAAACATGCAATTTTTCTGTACATTAAACATCATTAAAAAACTTATGAGAATTAATATTTTCAATAAATCTGTAGTCAGTATAAGCTTAAATGAACTTAAAGCCATTTTAAAATTTAAACCTATGTACTATTATCAGCCATTGAATAGGTTTATTAATATAAAAACAATGATCTCTACTGCAACAATTATTAATTACAAAAAAAAGTTAATATATATATATATATATATATACACACACACAAACAAAATATATCATTCACTGAAATCTATTAAACTCAACAAATAATGTACAAAACAGTACTGTTATAAATCCAAACAAATAGCTTATTCATAGATTTAGAAAACATGAAATATGTATGTCTAACCAAATTATATCCATTTGATATTTAAACCAAAGTATTTGTACTGTTTCCAAAAGCTATTTTTTTAGTTAAATATTTTTAATAATTTGTTGTTATTTCTTTAAATTAATAAGTTATGTTTACTTTAAAGTCTTCTAGTGTGTGAACTATAACTAATTATTAATGACTTATGAAATTTTAGCTAGTATTCATTCTAAAATTTGAAACATTTAATTGTTGTTAAAATTTTACATGGCAATAACTACAGTCTCAAGAAAACTAATGTCTTCATTGTTAAGTGCAAACTAATATTGTTTAATTAATTAAAAACAAAAGATACAATGGATTTTTAATTAAAAGGTGTCAGAAACTACTATAAAATCTTATCAATAATACCTTAATAAATGTTTATTATTAACAGACATTATATTAGTACAAACAATCTGAGCTTGTATAATTCTTAAACAACACATTAAAAACAACATATATATATATACTTAAATTTGTTACAACCTTTGCAAGGAAACTGTGTAAAGGATTAATTTTCAACCATTAATATAAAACACAAGTATGAAATTACATTAATTTGGAATTCATAATTGTGGTTTTGATAGTTAACCATAAAAATTTACAAATAATAACAACCAAATGATACTTTAACTTAAAAGGTCACATGTACAAAATAGTTTTCTATAGAAGTAAGTACACCTTTTTATGGCATAAAGTGAAAAACATTATTTCAGGTTTCATGATTCAAAACTTTTCAAACAGTTACCCACTTTCCTCTGACTATTCTAAATCACGGAGTATATCTATAGCAAAAACGTGAAAAACAGTAGTTAACATCAATTCATTTTATTACTGTAAAACTGTCATACCACTAAATGAACACAAAAAATTCTCAATACATGATACAACATTTAATAACATTAATGGAGAAATCACAGCAAGAATAAATGTTAGTAGTTAGAATCCAGAAGAATTAACACACCATGACAGGTCCTTCATTTTTCAATACAATGATTGTCTTAAATGCCTAAACCCAGATATTGATGGGTACCTAAAGTGGCAGAACTCCCATATCTTTTAACTCTCATTTTTAGCAGTCTCAGTAACCATAACCTTAAAAATTATAACAATAACAAAATATAGGTAAATATAAGAAAAGCAATAGCAGACACACAGTGCCTGCTTTACATATAGGTTCAACAGAATGCAAACTGAAACCCATCCTTCTATGGCTGGAATATAGGGGTGTGCTGCATGGCTGACAGAGAGAAGAATGAGCTTATCTACTCTCTGCCAGCTTTCCTAGATCTGGATATTCTGTATCAGATCCTGCAGTTTTTCCACAATCTCAAGAATTATTGGGAATCGCATTATCATGAGGCCGATTCATCTCTTCAACTGCCCCTGATGTTCCTTGTTCTGGTGGTGAGGTCAGTGAAGGGGCATCCTTCCTTGGTGGCATTCTTTCATTGATCTTGTCTAAGCCTTTAGCTTCCTCAAAAGATGAAATTTCATGTTGTGGTGAGATCCTTCCTGAAGCAAGGACTGAAAATAAATAAATAAATAAAACTTTTTTAAACTTCTACCTCTATCATGTATGATTTTATAAAATTCTTTACTAAATAAGCAATTATGATTTCTATTAAGCAATGCCTTTTTGTGCAAAAAATTACACATTTGCAGTCATTTGCAAACAAATGTAAATGAATGTGTGTGTGTGCAAATTGTATGGGTGGTTAAAGAATTGTATTATGAGAGGAAAATAGTAAGAAAACATTTACTCTTTAATCTTATGTATATTGCAAACCGTGGTGTCTGTCTCCCACTTGAAACGCTGTGCACGCATGCAAAGCTCAACATTCACTTTTGAAATGATAGATGAACAGCCATGAATAATGTTGATGTCAAATTTTATTTCACAAGCAGGATATTCTACACTAAATTGTTAGGAATTAATCACACTATCATTCATATTTCAAAATGTTACGCAAGTTAATGAATAAAAATGTATATTTACCATATGTTATAGCTGAGCAGCTCTTAGCATGACTGAAATGTGCAACAATTACTTTTTAGAGTGGGTGGTATAAGTAGCTCAGAGCCTTGGCTCTGAGAGAAACCAAGAGTACAACACAATTAACCTGCTTAAAGTCCATGAAATAATATAGATTGATAGATGAACCTAAACTTTTCCTGTCACTGGGGATGGGAACTTTTACTTGTGTTACAAATATCTGCATTATGCTAACTGGGATATCAATTTAATCAAAACTACACACATTACTATATTTAAAAGATTCATTATAATTTTAATTTTCTTCTTTGCTTTCTCCAAAATCCTCAGAATCATAATGTACATTATCCCTCTTCTTTCCAAGTTTTATATCCAGTTATCTCCAATTTTCCTTAACCTTGAAATATTTTCAATTTGATTTTGTGACCTTTGGCTGCCCTCTTCTCTATTTGCTTCATAAACAATCACAACTAATTAAAGATCTATTACTAAACTATTCAACACATTTAAAATTAGAATGTGATGTATAACGTGAAACAAACAGCACCCATAAGTAGGTTAGTTTGTGTGTGCATGTGTCAAATGGGAAGGACAGTTATACCAGTAACCATTACAAAACTTTCACAATGGCATAAGATGTGAAGACTTTAAACAAAAACTCAAAACCAACTTAAAATGCTACGTGCTCAGAGAAAAGTGAAATTAAATTTAAAAAATAGAAATGATATAGCAGTTGATAATACTAGTTAACAGCTAAAAAGATACAGTTGCTGAAGGTACTGATTAACAGATAATAACACAGTTGTTAGTATCACTATATAAAACCTAAATCTGATATAGTAGTTAGTAATACTAATTAATATATAAAAAATTTAAATTAGTTAATAATACTAGTTAATAAATAAAAATGATAAAGTTGATAGCAACAATAGTTAACAGATAAAAATGATATAGCTAATAATACTAGTTAATAGGTAAAAATTATATTGTAGCTAGTAATAATAGTTAACTGTTGAAAATATGTAGTAACTAATAATACTAGTTAACCTTACCGTCATGGGTCAAAGGCCATGTCATCACTTTTGTTGATTCACAATCAAATTTTTATTAAACAACTATTTTATGAATGTATGTCAATACGTTTGGTATCAAATTGTAGATTATAATTCAAATTTTAATATTATACATTAGTCTATTTCTTAATTTAAAATCAAACATTAAAACAAATTGTTAAATATCAATTTTTTGTGTGTCATGTGTATGTTGAATGCAGCATTGATTCAAATTAGATGTTTGTGATGTCCAAATACAAAGTCTATAGTTTCTTGTGAATTAGATACTCAAGTTGCTGATATTGACAAGCTAAAATGTAAAATAAGAACCTCCTATTTTTTAATATTTTCTGAGATATTAACATATTTATTGAATCAACCAAGGTGGGCCCACTCACCACATAAATTTTTGAAAATACCTGCTTACACACACCTACTTTGCCTAATGCTGTGTGTATAACCAATCAAAAGCTCAGACTGTCCCCTAGTGTTTTTTTAAGCCTCTGCAAAGTATTTGTGCAGTAAACTCTATCTTTTCTTGCTAGATTCTAAGCACTAAGGTAAGTGAGCTCAAAATTTCATATTTGTTTAGACCAAAATACAGCTTAGTTACTCAGCTTGATAAATAATAGTGGAATTCAATGGTATTGATATAGTAATTTATGATTTTTTATCATTTCAAAATGTACATATAAAACCTAAAAAATTTATTTCATTTCACATCCTTTACCTGCGAAATTTGATAAGGCTTAGCAGCCTACGGCAAGTAGTAAATGTGTACAAAGTTTGTAACTATACTTCTATATTTACTGTTCTATGTTTTAAGAACACAAGTTTCAGAACTTATTTGTAAATAGTAATAATGTCTAAAGATATATATAATGTATTATAACAGAAATGTGACTGTATTTTACAAAATACTAGTCCACTAAAACAAAGCCAAGACACGTCACTTTGTAAAGGCCAGTTTTATATTCTTGGATACAGCAACATGAGTACACATGTGCTGCATCATTGTGACTTCAATAATGTTAGTCAGGCATGGCTGAAAGGGCAATATAATACAAATAATATATATATATATATATATAGATGTATAATATTAAGAGATTTCAGTTTTTTAGACTGTTATAATCTGTAGTCATTCTAGAATAAAAAACATAATTCATGTTGATTTCATAATTTTTTTATGGTGGTTATGAGGTTGGTCAAATTGATCCAACCCATAAAGAGACACAGTAGTGAAAATAAAAGATAAAATATAAAGTTTTTCAAAAAAAACATTTGATAAATAAATGAAGGTTATAAAGATTTCACATGTGAAAT